CTTATATAATTCCATAATTTCAATGAGATCACGTAAATTACAAGGTTGCATTCCGATCTGTTTGGTATTATATTACATAGATATTGGATACAAATCACGAATAAACTAAAATTGCAAATTTGTCCAGGTCTCTAATTCTCGCTGTGGGTGTAATATTTCGTAGTGCATGCGAACGTATTCGCTTCAACAATTTCTACAACGCAAGCTTCTATTTTGGTTTCGAAATTAACGCTTTCCGATCGACATACGCTTCCAAAACCTGTAAATTTCATTCGTATAATACGCTATTATACAAGTCTCGTTCTCGATGATAACAAATGTAGTTGGTTCATATACTCGATATCTCACAATGTTCGGAGTGCGAAAAAATAGATTATTCAAGATCAAGGGAAAAATCGAAAGACAGTGGTAGGAAACGAGAAGTTACTGAAAGAAAGCTGTAAAATACAAGATCAGTTAGATAAACCTCACTACTGTTATAAAATCATTGGTGCAAATCGCGGGAATCCCATACTATTGTAAATCAATCAAATGGGAGATCTCCAGAAATTAGTACTGGTATGTTCAGATGGTAATTGTTTCTATGTAAATTATTATTAGATGTCTCTCGTTGACGATTCCATACAAATCCTCAAATGCCGGATTCCATACGAAGCCGACGAAGAGAGTGCAACACGTAAATACGTAACGTAATAAGGAAGGCCCATATATGTTTAAATTACTTCAAAATGCCATACGCAGTTTTCAGCGTTGAAATCCATACGATTCGACAGGCACGAAAATACGTAATATATTAGGTGTACAAAAAAGTTCTGAGCTTTAGATTTCATACAACCGAAATAACAATTTAAATTTTATATATCCCGCCCTTTTGCGGTTTTAAAGAGTTGACATTTGGCCTTCTAAAATGCCATACGGTTTGGCGTTTGATGCACATAATCTCAAAAATCAGTAGTGTTCACGATGGCAATAATAACAGAGCATATTCGATTTTCCATCCACTTCGCGTTTCATTTGAAGAAAAATGCTGCTGAAGCCACTGCAATGATTTGTGCTGCATATGGAGAGAACGCTGTAAGTCATACTACATATAAAAGATGGTATCAAAAATTTCGCCAAGGAGATTTCAGTCTTGAAGATGAACCGCGTGCTGGACGCCCTCAAAAGATTGAAATGGACGAATTCCAAGCATTGCTGGATATAAACTCTGCGCAAACTGAAAAGGAGCTTGCAGAACAGCTTGGTGTTACGCAGCAAACCATTTCCGTACGTTTACATACGATGGGAAAGGTTCAGAAGGAAAGCAGATGGGTTCCGCATGAATTGTCCGAAGACAACAAATCGTCGGCGTGACACTGCACTCACTTTGCTTTCAAAGTTCCGGAAAAAAGATTTTCTGCACAAAATCATTACAGGCGATGAAAAGTGGATTCTTTATGATAACCCTAAACGTAGAAAATCATGGGTTGACCCTGGTCAACCTTCGACATCGACGCCAAAGCCCAATATCCACGCCAAGAAGGTTTTGCTCTGTATCTGGTGGGATTGGAAAGGTGTGTTGTATTACGAGTTGTTACAATCGGGTGAAACAATCACGGCAGACCGCTACCAATAACAATTGGCCAATTTGAGCGATGCATTAGAAGAAAAGAGGCCATTTATTGGCCAAGGACATCATAAAGTGATCTTGCTTCATGACAATGCTCGACCACATGTTGCGAAAGCGACTCAGGACCATATCTTTGCGTTAGGCTGGGAACTTTTCTCGCACACGGCGTATAGCCCAGACATGGCGCCTTCCGATTACTACCTATTCCGGTCGCTGCAGCATCATTTGGCTGATACACATTTCGTGAGATTTGAAGAGATACGAAAATGCATTAATGACTTTTTCGCTTCAAAGCCGGTGAGCTTCTATCGTCAAGGAATTCGCAAGCTATCCGAAAGATGGCAAAAAGTCGTTGATGCAAACGGGGAATATTTCGCTGATTAATATTTTTTTGTTTGTTTTTTGAATAAAGATTGAATTTTACAAAAAAAAAGACTCAGAACTTTTTTGTACACTTAATATAATGGATGCCAGATGCTAATATATAGTTATGATGAGTAATTATATATATATATACTTATTCGTCAAGTCTTTTAATCTGATCCATTGTAAAAACTATTCGTCACACGCAATTTTGCTAAAGGAAAAAGTTGTTTTTTTTAGCATAAAAAATCACGTATTCCAAATGCAGAACACTCTGTATATATTTCAGGGAAATTAATTATGCAGAGAAATAAGGAAAATTCGACGAAGACAATAGCTTGTCAAATGTCATTTCAACACCAATGAATAGTTTGTCGGAAACAAATGAAATGACAGATCCAACAATAGATATTAACACAATATATCAGGATTCTCTTGAAAAGGAAGTTGTTTCATAAGAAATCTCAAAAATTTTAGGAGAAGATTAAGATGTTCAAAAATGATTGAGGTGAATTTTCACTTTGAATTAAAGGATAAATGACAGAAATGCGAGAAGGTTTGCCAAAGAGCAATAAGAGAACGATTTTGGAATCATATCTAAAGGAAGGAGATTTTTTTTCGGAAATTTCTAAAATAAATTTAGAGATAAAGCCGATCTTAACAGAGATTGCGGTCAAGAGAGACCAACATTTCGTTGAAGCACAGAATTGTGTCGGATCGGCTATTCAGCATTAGCAGCGGCGGTATCTATGATATTAGATGTACCCGAAGAAGGCATAGACCAGAAAAAATTCACAAAATATCTTTGTGATACAGACCAACTGCTAACAAAAGTACATCACCAGCTATCACTAAGGAGAGCGTTTATTATGCCTCCGATGAACAAAGCTATAAAACCGACTTTAGAAAGAGCTAAATTTGATCAGTGGCTGTACGGGCATAACAATTCACCGAACAACTAAAGGAAGCAAAGTCCTTAGAGAAAATTTGTACTAGCATTAAAAATCCGGAAAAAAAGTATTAATTCATGACAGTTTTTAATGGAACGGAATCAGGGAAATATGAAATATCCACCTGTCAGATATCGGCAGATGGGTTACCAACGGGGACCGGATCAACGAAAAAATGTGATTCGTTTCAGACCCAGAAAATGACACACTCTATACTAATCAGAGATTTAACAGTTGGATGACAAATCGATCATCATCAAAGAAATAACGGTAACAGATATGGCCATCTTCATAAATATTGTAAGAAATAGACCGTAAGCGTCATGAAAAAAATTCGGAATATAAACAGCTAACAGAGAGGAGGTCGTCGGAGGCCGTCGCGGTCGTGCAGACTAAGTGTCTTAGTAGTAGGCGAGGGATTCCGAGTTCAAATCCAGTCCGTCTCCGTTTATTTTTCCGAATCTAATAAATATCTTTCAATATAGGGAAAACTAGACAGCTATAACATCAGATAGCACATTCTAAAGTGGTTAAAAGGATATCGGATTCCATTCCGAGAAATTCCGCATCAACATAGAATTCCAATAAATAGGAATAGTGCAGGGAAGCAAATAAGAATAATAAGGTTAGAAATTGAAAAGATGTTATATAACAACATTATAGAGGAATATGCGGAAATTAGTGGACAGTTTATCTCGTCATATTTTGTCGTTAAAAAAGCGGATGGATCAAATAAGTTCATCTTTAACGTGAAAAAATTAAATCAATTCATAGATACTCAACATTTCAAAATGAAGGACATTCGATCGGCAAGGGATTTGTTGTCGCGAGGATCATATATGAGCTCACTAGACTTAAAGAAAGTTTATCATGTTATTCCTATATGGGAAGAACATAGGGTATACCTTCGATTCAAACTTCTCGATAAACTGTATCAGTTTACTTGTCTTCCCTTTGGGCTTTGTATACTAGCCAGTATGTATTTATAAAATTGATGAAACCATTATGAATCATCTGAGATCGCGAGGGATAATAGCGATAATATATTTAGATGATATTCTTTTTATACACAAATTTAAAGAGATCTGTCAAAGTAATATTAATTATACCTTGAAATTTTTAGAACATTTAGGATTTATAAACTATCAGAAGAGTTCACTAATACCTAATCGAGAAGGTAATTATTTAGGTTTTAAGATTAATTCGAATTCGTTCTGTTTAGAGTTGACAGATAAAAGAAAGTGTAGATTATAGATTTATTGAACCGATTTCACGAGGAAAGACGATACAAGATCCGCAAGATAGCGAGATTGCTAAGTGTTTTAGCAGTAGCTTGTCTTGCGATAGAGTATAGCAAAGTATATGTCAAGAAATTCGAGAGAGAAAAAGTTCTAGCACTATTTAATATTTAATAATAACAATTTCGATGGCGGAATGTACATAATAAAATTGGTAAAGGAGGACTTAGAATGGTGGAAACATAATCGCATCGGGTTTTAATCCCATCAGAACGCAGACGTTTAAAATGATGATATATTAGATTCTTCCTTAACGGGTTGGGGCGCCCATTGTGAGATACTAGTATTCATGGATTTTGGAGGAGGAAAAGAAGCGCGACATAAATTATTTAGAACTTAATGCGGCCTTCTTCGCCTTGATGAGCTTTGCATCCGAGTTGTCTGCTTGCGAGATCTTATTACGATTGGATAACACGACAGCAATAGCTTATATTAATTATAACAAAGTTGGAGGAGTCAAATTTCCTCACCTCAACAATCTAGCTCGGAAAATATGGTAGTGGTGTGAAAGGAGGAAAATTTGGATCATGGCGTTGTACATCCCATCTGATAAAAATATAGAAGTAGACGTAACATCACGTATCATTAATATTGATACTGAATGGGAGGTATCTAGTATAGTATTTCAAGAAATTGAAAAGAATTTCGGACCGTTTACCATAGACCTTTTTGTCTTTTTGACTAAAAGATTTAAAGAAGGCGCGAGTTATAGTACCTTGAATACTACCAGATCAATGATTGTTCTTATTTTCTTATATAATATTTCACAAGATGGATTTATAGCGTTTTTTTAAAGGTATTTATAAAAAAAAATCCGTCGAAGCCCAAGTATGATTCAACATGGGATATTACTCCGGTGCTAAAATATTTGGAAGGATTTCCGTCTCTAAGTGCAGACAATCTATTGTTCAATAATAATGGACCACGACTAGAACATTAACTGCTCTAATAGTTCACCTATAAGTTCATATTATCCAATATTGTGGATGTCCGATATTTCAATAAACCGCAATAGGCTGGCAAATCTATTCACATGCTAAATTTTTGAGTTCGATAATCAAGAAGTTATTGAAATGTTCTTGAGAATTTAATAACCTTCTAGAATACTGAAATACTTCTACAATTTGTTCGGGGTACATTAGCCTAAGCACGAATAAATAATTACCCGGGAAAAAAAGTTTTATATCTAATTATATATAATTATATAATTTTGTAGATCTAATTATGTATGAATTTTGACCTGATCTAATTATATATAAATAGATAAAATTGTTTATGATTATATATGAACAGATCAAATTATGCATATTTATTACGACAAAATTACGATTGCGTTCCGATATTGACTGTTAGTATTGAAAATCTATAATATATGTAACATAAAATATCCTTACAGAAAATAAGTGAAAAAAAATGAAAAAATGAAAAAAAATGAGAGAAAGCGATGAAACATTTTTTATCTCATATTATCATATGTTTCTAAAACCGGTCACCTATCAATTTGAAGATCCTACTCGATGCTGCTTAAGTATTGGGATGAAACCTGTTACTGAAATGACCAAAATAAGTGATTGCGAGATCTTTGCTTAAAATATGATAAATCTGGTTAATAAATATTACTATATTGTATAAATATAGTCGCAATTTTAAAATCTCAATTGCATATGTAATTTTTGTAGATAATTTAATTACATGTATAGAGCCGTGAACTTATGTTATGTTTAATATCATTATTCTTATGAAAATGTTTATAAATTGTTGTATATATTTTATTTACTTGTTAATGAATTTGTTAATAACTGTATTAAATATGGGAAATATTTTTCTTATTTAGTTATATTATAGTTATATTACAGTTATATTATAGTTACTTAAGAAAGATAATTAATAATGTTCAATGTTTATTCATTAAAAATGACTTAAAAATGACGATGAAATGGCGATATATTCATGACGATAATATTTCGTAATATTTCCAAATAAGAAGGGAGGATATGCGTCATGATGGGGCCCGACCACGAACCAGTCGTGAAAACTCGTAATTATTTTGCGAAAAAATACCACCTCAGCCAGGAATCGAACCTGGATCTCCTGCTTACTGGGCAGGCATCTTATCCCTTCGATTACCGAGACATGTGATAATATTTATCGCAAATAATGTATTTAGAATAACACGTCAATAATACAATGACACACACACACACACACACACACACACACACACACACACACACACACACACACACACTACAATACTAC